CAACCAAAGTGTCCTACAATAGATGATTGGCTAAAGAAGCTGTGGTACATATATACAATGGAATATTACTCAGCCATAAGAAGAGGTGAAATATTGCCATTTGCAACAACATGGATGGACCTTGAGATAATAATACTAAGCAAAATAACTCAGAAAAAGTGGAAAATCACATAATATCACGTGGGATATAAACTTAAAAACAATAAATGAACAAGACAAACAAACAGAGACTCATGGACGTGGACAATGGACTAGTGGTTACCAGAGAGGAGGAGGGAGGGAAAAGGGGGAAAAATAAATAAAATGTTAATAAATTAATTAATAAATAAATAAATAAATAATTTTTTTTTTTAAGAAAAAATAAGAAAAACAAGCTAAATCTAAAGAAAGTAGAAGATGGAAGGATGGAAGGAATAAAAAGATGAGCAGATGTCAATAAAAAAAAGATGGTTTTTTGAAAAGACTGATAAAATTAATCTCCTAGGAACACTAATCAAGTAAAGGAGAAAAAAAAAACTAGCAGTAAGAGAAGTAGAGACTATCACTACAGATCCTACAGACATTAAAAGAATAAAAAGAAGATATTATGAAGAACCTATGCTAATTCAATAACTATATATATATGTAATTTAGTTTTAGAATATTAGCAAATTATTAGGTAACACTTATCATTTTCATTTTACAGATAAGAATGTGTGGTTAAAATGAAGTCCATAAAGGAAATTCTGATACACATTACAACATGTATGAACCTTGACGACATTATTCTAAGTGAAATAAGGCAGTCACAAACAGGCAATTATGTTATTCCAACTATATGAGGTACTTAGAGTAGTCAAAATCATAGAGACGGAAAAAATAATGGTGGTTTCCAGGAGCTGGAGAGAGCAAAGAATGGGTAGCTTTGTTTAATAAGTACAGAGTTTCAGTTTTACAATGTTTATAAGATGAAGTATAGAGATGAATGGTGGTTGATGCATAACAAAGTGAATATATTTAAAAACACTGAACTGTACACTAAAAACATAGTTAAGATGGTAATTTTTTATGTTATAACTGTACACTTAAAAATAGTTAAGATGGTAATTTTTTATGTTACGTGTATTTACCATAATAAAACAAATAATTCAATAAATAGGCATATGTAACCATTTAACTAAATCTCTAGAGAATTATGCCTACTGGGATAAAAACCAATCCCCAAAGATTAATACTGTATGATTCCACTTGCATAACATTCTTTAAACTACAGAATTTAAAAATGGAGAACATATTTTTGTTGTCAAGGGATAGCTATTGGAAAAAAGGGGTGATAGAACTGTTTAGTATCTTGACTGTGACAATTGGGACTTAAATGTTCACATGTGTTAAAGTTGTATGGAATGTAACACATATATCACATGAGTACAGATAAACCTAGGGAACTCTGAATAAGATTAGTGATTTGTATCAAAGTCAATATCCTGGTTGTGGTATTATATGATAATTTTATGAAATGCTATCATTGGGGGAAAGTAGTTAAAGATTACACACAATATGTTTATTATTTTTTACAAATGTATGTAAATCTATAATTTTCTTAATAAATACTTAAGATATCTTAAAATACTTAAAAATACTTTAAAAATACACTTAATAAAATGAATTATCAAGGAAACAATAAAAAAATAAAATAAAATGATGTCTATAAATCATTCAAAGTCATGATTTGCTTAATATAAAAGACAGTATTTTAATCGTAGCCTTTCTTATTATAAAGTCTATGCACTATCTATAGTCACCTTTAGCCTCTGCTATTATGATAAAACTTTAACAGTTGGTAAGTTTTGTGACTATAAAGAGGTCTGAAACTAATAATAAAACCTAAATATTAAAGCACTTTAAAAAATACAGAATTTTACTGTATCATATATGTCAACACAATAACTTGAGTACTATTACAGAATGTCTCAGAAAACCCTCATTGATGAAAATAATAATGCTCATTAAACATAATATTCAACTTAATTACAACATTATAAATTAAATAAAAAATTTTTAAATATGCTTCTAAATATTTGGGAATACTAGCAAATTGTTGGAAATTTTTACATCATTTAACAATGCATCTTCTTCCACTAAATTACCAAGATAAACACTTTTCTGCCTTATCAGACAAAAGGAAATTTTATGTTGGTGTCATACTCATTTCTTTTATTTGAGTCAGTTTACTAATTTTGTATTGCTAAAAAATACAAAAGCAACTAAGAAGTAGTTAAATGTGTAATGGATGTATAAAACAGAGAGGCAGGCAGAGAGTCAGAGTACCAATTCTC